GTCCAGAAATAATACCTAATGTTAAAATGTTATTTGGCTTAAATCTCTCTTTATGTTGCAAATTACACAAAACCTCATATATCACTCCAGTACTGTGTAATGTATAGTCAAATAGTTGAAACCAATCTATATTAATAATAAGGCCAATATATATATCAAGTATATTATTAGTAAAAAATGGTATAGGATTATCAGAATCTATAGTAAAATTACGCCAGATATTGCTCTCATATATATCTGAGTATATTCTATCTAGTACATATCTATTTTTAGAATGCTGTAACATTTTCTCAAAGCCTGCTCGCTAATACATCATATAAAGCTATTGCTTTATACTGCCAACTAGATAAAGTTTAGATGGTCGCATTAAAGTACCATCTCTTGTTTTTATTAACACTGCTAATAGTTCATTACAAGCTAATCGCTGTACTTTACTCTATATTTGAGATATTCAACAAGCATACACTTTTTGCATTCTTGTTTGTTAGTACAAATATCTTCTACCTCTGATGAGTCATAGAGTTTATGACATTTTGAGTATGTGATATATTTTTTATATTTGGTAGAAATCCCTAAAGATGATTTAATTGTATTTATAGATGTCAGTAGCCTATCAGCTCCATCTACTTTGTAATGAATTAATATATTTCAAAGAAATTTAATTAATATATCCAATCCAGTATTGGATATATTATATCTTTATTGATATTTCATTATCCACAAAATGATCTAATTCAGTTGTTTATTATCAAAATTGACTAGTGAATCAAAATTTTCTGGATCAATCATTGGTGGAATAAAATTAATTGTATTCTGATCTTGTGAATCTGTGGATGATTTTCTTAAACTACTTGAAGATTTGCTTAGTGTAGGAGAGCTATTAGATTGTTTTTCTTTTAATATTATAATATTATCTTTATTTGATAGTTGATATATGTCGAATAAATAAGTTCTCTCTAAAGTTTCATCAATGTTCATATCATCATCGTCATTAATAGGTGAAGGTTCTTTAAATTTTTCTTTAGCCAATCGTCTTGTATTTGTTTTTGAATATCAAAATCATCGTCTAAGATATTTATTGAGTCAGTACTGATATTATTGTTCTCTTTATCATCTTTATTACTTGTTGTGCTACTAGTTTCATCGTCTGAACTATCGTTTCCTGAACTATCATTTTCTGAACTATCATTTTCTGAACTATCATTTTCTGAATTATTATTTTCTGAACCATCATTTTTTGAACCATCATTTTCTGAATCATCGCTTTTTGAACCTTCACTTTCTGAACTTTCACCTTCTGAATCTTTGCTTTCAGAATCTTTATCATATTGAGGAAATTCAAGAAGTAGCTCTTCTATTTCACATTTATGTTTTATTTTTCTTAATGATGGCGATTGTATTGTGCTTGTACTAGATGGACCAATATTAGATAAACCTATATGATCAATATAATTTCGCTGTTCAATATACTTTTTTCCTTTACATTTAGCGCAATGGCATAATATTTTTCTTGAAATTATTACATTTGTTTATATTAATTTATTATCAGTTTTATGTTTAATAAATTTTTTGATGGCAATGTTATGATAGTGCAAACACCTGTTTTAAATACTTTTTAAAATAAATACATAACTATATATAAATTCAATAACAATAAATAATACTTTAGAATCTTCTACATTGATTAACTATTTTGATCATTGATTTAATCAATTGTCAGAATTTTTTTTTTTTTAATTTTAATACAGAAATTTCTAGGATACTAGTATATTCTTTTTGTCAGAGTTTTAATTATCTTAAATGATATAAATAAACTATGTAGACAATAATGACGTGTTAAAATCTCTTTTTTCTAGAACATGTCAATTTCTTTTCTCTTGCAAATAATAAATTTCATAATATAGAAATATCTTTGCACTAATTATAAAAACTTTTCTTAATATAGTAATATTATAAGTACAGAAGGATGATCGAAGATACATGTAGAATTCTTCAAAGATTCATTGTATGGTTTATATTCATATAATATCTTCTCAAATGAAAAGAAAATTCTTCCTAAAAAAAGGTTGAAGACAAAAGATATTTTTAATAAAGAAAACTATGAATATTGATATATGTTTGAATATACACATGGACTTCTTTGAAAATTTATGACTTACCAATCGTGAGCCTATCTTTATAGGTGAAAAGAAAATTCTTTGAATTAAATTTACAAGTAAACTGTAGCAAATATTATTACTAAATAAGAATATTCTTAAGAACACTACGTGAGCTGATAAGCTTCAGAGAAAATATACTGAAACATGAAATTTTATAATTTACTGTTCGTAAATATAGCTTCTTAAAAGAAAGAAATATTTTTGAGGTAAATAGTAGAAATTTTTATATAATTTTCTTAATAAATAATACCAATAGTATATAATAATAAAAAGAATAATACTAATTTTCGATTATTATCTTCATGATTAAACAGTTAGCTGTATATCGTCCTCAGTGTAAGATAAATTATAATGCAATTATTTATTTATTAATATAATTATAGCGATATACATTAATATTTATTTATACAGTATCTGTTATTGTTTAAATTCGAATACAGAATAAATATCAGAAACAATGTTGATCGATCACATGCATATAGCCTCAACGAAAGGTAAATTATTTAATGTAATCATATTTATCTAATATTATTATAGTGATATGTATACATATCTGTTATTGTTCAAATTTTAATTTGAATACATACGGAATAAAAATCAGGAACAATGTTATTTGATCGCAATTTTAATTTGAGTACAGGAGAACTATTAGAAACAAACATGTGATTAAACTTTTGCTTGCATATCGTCCTTAACGAAAGATAAATTCTTTTATTTAACTAATAAAATTTTTAATTTTGAGTACAGAAGAACTATTAGAAACAAACATGTGTTAACTATTCATTTGCATATCATCTTCAATGAAAGGTAAATTATTTAATGTAATCTTTATTTAACTAATAAAATTTTAATTTCAAATACAGAAGAACAATGTTAATCGATCGTATGCATATTGTCCTTAACGAAAGGTAAATTATTTAATATAATCTTTTGTTTAACTAATAAAATTTTAATTTTAACTACAGAATAAATATCAGAAACAATGTTAATCGATCGCATGCATATCGTCCTTAATGAAAAGTAAATTATTTAATATAATCTTTTGTTTAACTAATAAAATTTTAATTCGAGTACAGAAAAACTATAAGAAACAATCATGTGATTAAACTTTTGCTTGTATATCATCCTTAATGAAAGGTAAAGTATTTAATATAATCTTTTGTTTAACTAATAAAATTTAATTCAAGTACAGAAGAACTATTAGAAACAATATTGATCGATTGCATACATATTGTCCTTAACGAAAGGTAAAGTATTTAATATAATCATTATTTAACTAATAAAATTTTAATTCAAGTACAGAAGAACTATTAAGAACAATATTGATCAATCGCATACATATTGTCCTCAACGAAAGGTAAATTATTTAATATAATCTTTTGTTTAACTAATAAAATTTTAATTCGAGTATAGAAGAACT